TTATTAGTTTATTCTCTCTCAGACGTTTTGAGTCTTTGAAATTCCTTTCCTCAAGAGGCTGTGAATGCAGAATCTTTAAACAATTTTAAGGCAGAGGTAGATAGATTAAAGGGGATGAACTGTAGAGTTGAGGTTAAACTCAGATCGGACATGATCTTGTTGAATGGCAGAGCAGGCTAGAAGGGCCAAGTGGCCTAACAGTGCAGAATGACAAGGCTCCTCATGGTAGACTGGTTAGCAAGGTTAGATCACATGGAATACAGGGAGAACTAGCTATTTGGGTACAGAACTGGCTCAAAGGTAGAAGCAGAGTGTGGCGGTGGAGGGTTGCTTTGCAGATTGGAGGTTTGTGACCAGCAGTGTGCCACAAGGATCAGTGCTAGGTCCACTGCTTTTTGTCATTTATATAAATGATTTGGATGTGAACATAGGAGGTGTGGTTAGTAAGTTGCAGACCAAAATTGGAGGTCCAGTGGACAGCGAAGAAGGTTACCTCGGAGTACAATGGGATCTTGATCAGATGGGCCAATGGGCCGAGGAGTGGCAGATGGAGTTTAATTTAGGTAAATGTGAGGTGCTCGATTTTGGAAAGGCAAATCAGGGCAGGACTTATATACTTAATGATAAGGTCCTGTGGAGCATTGAAGTGCAGGTTCATAGTTCCTTGAAAGTGGAGTCCCCAGGTCAATAGGATAGTGAAAAAAGCATTTGGTTTGCTTGCCTTTATTGGTCAGTGCATTGCGTATAGGAGTTGGGAGGTCATGTTGCGGCTGTACAGGACATTGGTTCAGCCACTTTTGGAGTATTGCTTGGTCTCCCTCCTATAGAAAGGATGCTGTGAAACTGAAAAGGGTTAAGAAAGGATTTACAAGGATGTTGTCGGGGTTGGAGGGTTTGAGCTATAGGGAGAGTCTGAATAGGCTGGGGCTATTTTCCCTGGAGAATTGGAGGCTGAGGGATGATCTTATGGAGGTTTATAAAATCATGAGTGGCGTGGATCGGATAAATAGGCAAAGTCTTTTACCCGGGGTAGGGAAGTCCAAAACTAGAGGGCATAGGTTTAAGGTGAGAGGGGAAAAATATATAAAAGGGACCTAAGGGGCAGTTTTTTCACACAGAGGGTGGTGAGTGTATGGAATGAGCTTCCAGATGAAGTGGTGGAGGCTGGCACAATTACAACTTTTAAAAGGCATCTGGATGGGTACATGAATAGGAGGGGCAAGTGGGACTAGATTTCTATAGGATATTTGGTTGGCATGGATGAGTTGGACCGAAAAGTCTGTTTCTGCATTGTACATCTCTATGGCTCTGAATGAGATTTCTAATTGTCATATTCACGCAGCGAGTATTCCATGCAGATTTCCTACGCATAAAATGTGACTGTATATATGTTCCTATTTGCTAAGATGTGCTGGCTCAGCAATCAGATAATTTTATTCCATTTGGCAAGAGTTATATTCCTGCTTCGTATGTGAAGATTATAGAATCTGCTGGGGCAAGAGTGATACCCATAAGGTAGGTTTGTAGCTCTGATGATTCACTGTTTATCCAACACAGAACTCATTCCTTCATAAGTGTTTGAGGTTTATACGAGCTGTTTACCTGCAGCAGGAACACTCAGAATCCTGTTAGACTGCTCTGTAGGATTGGAATTTCCTTTCAACCTGTCCCTCACCAGATCTGGGCTGGCCACGAAGGACCCTCCCGTCAATCCCCTGCAGCGGGCTTCCTGCAGTGTGAAGGCTCCCACCGTTGTGCCGAATAGAGATACACCCCTCTCCCATCCCCCTCAGTCAGGTCTACCACACTACCCCTACCGAATCCACCTCCCCCACCCACAAATGTTGTTAGGCCATGGGGTGGCAATGGCCTAGTGATATTATCGGTGGACTGTTAATCCAGAGACCCAGATTTGAATCCCGCCATGGAAGATGGTGGAATTTGAATTCAATTCTGGAATTAAGATTCTGGTGATGACCACGAAACCGTTGTCAAAATTTGAAAAAAGTCATCATCTTCACCAATGTCCTTTAGGGAAGGAAACTGCCACCCTTACCTGGTCCACATGTGACTCCAGACCCACTGCAATGTGGTTGACTCTTAACTGCCCTCTGGGCATCTAGAGATAAGTAATAAGTGCTGGCCTAGCCAGCGATGCCCTCATCCCATAAATGAATGGAGAAAAGGCTGCTGCAGTGCTTTGGAGACCAGTTGCAGTCTCAGCAGTGTCCAGTTTTCAGAGACCACATTCCTTTCATAAAGGAGCAGAACATCACCTTCATTAATGACCTATGAACATGAAATCAGCTTGGCACTTGCTTGCTCCTCAAATGTAGGGACTCTTCCCTGATATTTCAGCTGGAGAGCGTGGCCACTACCTCTACATAAAATTGTGGCCTAGCCCCTCAAGGATGGAACTTATGGACTGGAATTCTTCACGAGTATAGTTTTCTTCTTTGTTCTCAACTTTCCTAACAAGGTGGGGTTATGGTGGTCATGTTTATTGATGAGCCTTCTCCAGTCCCCATAGTAAATTATTTGTGCAAGTCTTCCATCATTTCCTGGTTCCCTTTATTTCCACAGCCTTGTTCTCAAAGGGGCTTATGTTCCCTGTTGCCATACTCTTTTGTTTTTAGATTTTTAAAGATGCTCTTTCTTCCATTTTTATGTCACTTGCTAGTTTGATCTCATTGTTTATTTTGTCCCACTTTTTTCTGGGCCATCTTTTGTTCGCTTCTAAAGCTTTCCCAATCCTCTGGTTTATCAATAAACTTTACCATATTGCATGAGTTTTCTTTCAATTTGATACTGCCCTCAACTTCCCTGGTTAACCTTGGCTAGTTTATCCCCTTCCTAGAATCTTTCTTACTCACTGAGATATATTGTTGCTATGAATCATGAACTATTTCTTTGAAGGTCTGCCATCGTTCATCAGCTGTCTTTTCTATTAAACTCCTTTTCCAGACCACTCCCATACCTCTGCCCTCATTCCATGTAATTGTCCTTAATAAGTTCAGCACAGTTGTTTCTGACCCAAAATTCCCACTCTCGAATTGAATGTTAAATTCCACCATGTTATTATCCCTGTAATCTGATAATCTGAAATGATTTATTGAACTGGCCTTTTTACACATTACCAGATACAAAATAGCTTGATCCCTGCTTGGATCCACAACATAACTATTTTTAGAAACTATCCCAAATCCACTATATGAATTCTTCCTCATGGTTAACGCTGCCAATTTTATCTTTCCAATCTACATTGCTACATGCCCTCATTACCTCCTAACTTATTATCTGTTCTACAGAATAACTGCGGTTAGGAGGTCTATACATTACTCCCACCAGTGTCTTCTTCCCCTTGTTATTTCTCACGTCCACCCATTAAAATTATATGTCTTCAGATGCAAGATCATTTCTTGCTAATCTAGTTATTCCATCTCATACTAACAATGCTATGCCACCACCCTTCCCTTCCTACCTGTGCTGTCAAAAGCTCACATATCCCTGAGGATTTAGTTTCAGGCTTTGATCCCCTTATAATGGCCACAAAAGTCTCCATAATGGCCACAAAATCGTACCCATTAACCTTTATTTTTGCCATTAATTTATTTATTTAGTTCTGAATACTGTGTGCACTCAAAAAAAGAGCTATCGATTTTGTTTTTTTACCTTTTATTCCTGCTTTGTTCCTATTTGCTACTGTTTATTTTTGCTGCGCATCCTTAACTCGCTATTTTTGAGCCATCGGTTTACACTAGCATACTTCAGTATGATAGTTTGAAATTTAAATGGCAAGGTTGCAGGTACAGGGTAACTCTTACTAAATGGCATTGGGTCAGGAACCTATCATGATCCTGCCCATGTGTAGGTTTGATCCATGTGGGTTTGCAGCTTAATGGACTATTCCTGTGCAGATGTCAAGGAAATTAGTACAATATGCAAGTGAGGAATTAGTTTCAAATTTAATCCTATATTCTTAGTTTAACAAGTTGAGTCTCCTGACCGCGCTCTGTTGCACCAGTATCTCCGAAGTGAGAGCACAGTAAGGCTTGATTATCAAATAAAATTGACTAGTTTTGACCTGATTTGTGTTAGACATCATGAGAGACTTGTGTGTGCAGGTGCATAGTTCTTGAAAGTGGAGTTGCAAGTAGACAGGATAGTGAAGAAGGCGTTTGGCATGCTTGCCTTTATTGGTCAGACTTTTAATTCAAATTTATATTGAGTTATATTCCACCATGTGAATTTGAACCCATGACCTAAGAAGCAAGTGTTGTTGAAGCTGCATCTACCCAGACAAATGGAGGACTTTAAGACAATCCTGATTTGTCCCTTCTTTTTGCTAGGAATGATTTGATGCCTTATTAAGCAGACATTCTGAGACCTCACCGAAGTGACTGGTTTTTGATTGTCACAAAAGGTTTTCTCCTTTAACTTGCGCCCCTCTGTCATTTTCATTTCCTGCTGCTTCTCTTCTGCCTATAATGTGTATATGTGAGTGTCCAGAGTAAACCCATGATAAGGAATCTAGGACAGAAAAGTGGAAAAAAAAATTTCCTACTTGGAAAGGCAATTTTCAGAAACTGATCTCAGTTACACAGTTGAGAAATTTTTTTTGAATTGTTACAATCAAAACTGATGTTTCATGAATTTTAACATGCAGCATTTCTGAACTCTAACTTTCTGGTTTGACAACTCCTGCAGATACCATATCTGTTTTCTAAAGGTTAAGGTTTAAGGCTGCAGCAACTCCAATACAGATTGTAGAATTTCTGAGACAGCAGCTTTTGGCTTCAGTGTCTCAATGATTGCCTACATCCAAGAGTTCTGAGCAGACATCTTTCAGTTGCTAAGTTAACTAAAATTTGACCTATATTTTAGAATGGATGTAACTCTAACATATGTGTTTTACATCAAATTTCAATTCCATGTACCTAGCTTTTGCACGAGAAAATCAGTGTAGAATTAAATACATTTCTTTTATTTCCGAAAGCATGAAACTAACAGGCTGAATATACGAGACAACAAGGTGCAGGACTGGATGAACATAGCAGGCCAAGCAGTATCATAGGAGCAGAAAGGCTGACGTTTCGGGCCTAGACCCTTCATCAGAAAAGGCTGAATATACGGACTTGTTTCATTCCATAAATGGCTGAGTTGTGCAACTGATTGGAGTTTTATTACTCTTCCATAAAAGTAAGTAGAAGTCTCATCTCAGTAATATTATTGACATTCTTCATTGCAGTAGCTTAACTTTTATAGCTAGTAGGTTTAAGTCTTTTAAAAGTAACTACTAAGCGATGTTACTATTACAGGTTTTACAAATATATAGATCTGAGCTGGGAAAACATAAGAACTGGTTTTTTGACATTCTAACAAATTTCACGCCCCTCCATAATCATGCTATTCCCCTATGCCTCATGACCTTTATCACTGAACAGGCCATTTTTGACCATTTTCACACAACCACCTTGTATAATTATCTCCCATCCTTGTCCCTGACATTGCTGCTATTCTTTTGTTTCATTCTAGATGGTTCAAATGCTGGCAAATGGGACTGGATTAATGTAAAATATCTGGTCAGTATGGACAAGTTGGGCTGAAGGGTCTGTTTCTCTGCTGTACATCTCTTGACTCTATTTAAAGACATCTAAGAAAACAAAATGCTCCAGCTGTTAATCACAGATCTGTTTGGATCATGATCAGTCCTCCCTGTCCTCTGTATAAGTTTGACTTAAAATTTTCCCTCTGGCCTCTGCACGCTTCACTGTGACCACATGAGGAACCCATGGAATTCTTTCTCCCTAAGATATGTTAAAATCTATGAGGTGCTTTTGTTATGTCCTACCACACTGCGAACTCATTACTGTCCCACCACATTTTCTTAGTGACTAGGTCAAACCTATCCCCAGCTCTGTCCTTCCCTAGCTGTGAACGTAAGTTCTGGTTCGAGCTCATCCTGGCCATGAAACCTATCTCCTGCTTGCTTGATCCCATCCCCAGTAGATATTTGACTGTTCAATGTCCCTCCTGACATAGCTATTTGACATTTTCCTCTGAGACGCAGTGTTCTTAGAACCATAGAATCCCCTACAGTGTGGAAGAAGGCCATTTGATCCACACCAACACTCTAAAGACCATCCCACCCAAACCCGTCCCTCTACCATATCCTTGTAACCCTGCATTTCCCATGGCTATTCCAGCTGGTCCACACATCCCTGGACACTTTGGGCAATTTAACACGGCCAATTCACCTAACCTGCGCTGGACTGTGGGAGGAAACCGGAGCATCCAAGAAAATCCACGCAGCAACAGGGAGAACGTGCAGATTCCACACAGATGGTCAGCCAAGGTTGGAATCGAACCCGCGTTATTGGTGCTGTCAGGCAGCAGTGCTAACTGCTGAGCCACCATGTCACCCGTAAACTAGTTAAATGCCACTTTTGAGACAAGGTTTCTTCCTTTCCCTTCACCTGGTGTCAGTCTTGCGATTCTAAAAAGCTAGCAGGAGCCTCAATGCCATCTAAAATTGCCAGGTAAATATAAATGTTCTTGAACACACACAACCATTACTGTCAGTAAGTTGAAATTGTGACAGAATGGTTGTGTGATGAATGTTCTACTTTTAATGTGTTATAGATGTGATATTAATAAGAAAAATAATTTTGTTTTGTATTTGGCTCTAAAAATGCGTTAGATGCAGCTGAATCTCTATAATTTGCCTGACATAATGAGGCTATAACTTTATTGTTACTGAGCTCATTATGCTTTACGAATCAGATAATGGCACTATTTGTGAACTTGGAACGTATCCATTTACTGTTCTCTTTCAGGGTGCTCTTTCCAGGAGGTGTTGCTCCTGTTCTGAATTCCAGATATGCTGAGATTTCAGCCATCATTTATAATTTTACACTAAAGGAACAGAATGGTACTGATTGTATAGATATATTTAGTAAAAGACAGAGATGTACTGGTTAACTAAAGTATTAGAATAAATGTTTGAGGCTTGCTTGTTTGTTTTAAGCCGCTTTTATTTATAGGCCTCCAGAGTCTTTCATTTAAATAGTTTTCCTCTCGATAATCTGTTCCAATATATTACATATATACATACAAACAAGGAGTAGGCCATTCAACCCCATTGCTCCACTTATGGTTGGTCAATAAGATATAGGAGCAGAATTAGGCCATTTAGCCTATCGAGTCTGCTCTGCCATTCGATCATGGCTGATGTTTTTCACCCCATTTTCCTGCCTTCTTAAGTCTTGATCCCTTTACTAATCAAGAATCTACCCATCTTTGTATTAAATCAATTTAATGACTTAGCCTCCCCAGTGTTCTGTGGCACTGATTCCCACAGATCAACCATTCTTTGGCTGAAGAAATTCCTCCCCATCTCAGTTCTAAAAGGTTGTCCCTTTACTTTGAGGCTGTGTCCTTGGGTCCTAGTCTCTCCTAGTGGAAACATCATTTGCATGTCCGCTGTATCATTGCCTCTTAGTACTTTTTACATTTCAATGAGATCTCCCCCGCTCTTCCTTCTAAACTCCATTAAGTACAGATTGAATGTCCTCAAAAGCAACTCATATGACCGGCCCTTCATCCCCGCGATCAATATTGCAAACCACCCTGGATACATTCCAACACAATACGGCACATCCTTCCTTAGATATGGGACTCACAATATTCCAGATGCATTCTGACCAGAGCCTTATACAACCTCAGTAGCACATCGCTGCTGTTGTATTCTAGCCCTCTTGAAATGAATGCTAACATCACATTTGCCTTCCTAATTGCCAAGTGAGCATGCACATTAACCTTATGAGAATCCTGAACTAGGACTCCCAACTCTTTGTGCTTCAGATTTCTGAAGTCTTTCCCTATTTAGAAAATTGTCTAAGTCTTTATTCTTCTACAAAAACATATAACCACATACTTTCCCATATTGTATTCCATCTGCCATTTCTTTGCCCACTCTCCTAACCTGTTCAAGTCCTTCTGCAGCCTCCTGACTTCCTCAACACTACCTGTTCCTCCACCTATCTTTGTGTTATCTGTAAAGTTAGCAACAGTGCCCTCATTCCTTCATTCAGATTGTCAATGTATATCATGAATAGTTGTGGTCCCATTACTGATCCTGCAGAACTCCACTAGTCACCTTCCTGAAAAAGACCCCTTTAACCCCACACTCTGCCTTCTGCCAGTCAGCCAATCCTATATCCATGCCAGTGCCTTGCCCCTAACACCATGGGTTCTTGTTTAGCAGCTTCCTGTGCAACACCCTGTTACAGGGCTTTTGGAAATCCAAACATATCCCATCCACTGGCTGTCCTTTGTCCAACTTGTTCATTACCTCCACAAAGAATTCTAACAGATTTGTTAGGCATGACCTCCCCTTGATGAAGCCATGCTGACTCAGCCCTATTTTACCATGCACTTCCAAGTACTCCACAATCTCATCCTTATTAATGGACTGTGCATTCTTACCAATGACCAATGTCAGTCTAACAGGCCTATAGTTTCCAGTCTTCTGCTTCCTTCCCTTCTTGAACAATGGTGTTACATTTGCTGTAACTTAAAATCTACATTCTCACCTACTTGTGATAACCATTCATCCCCTTGCTTAATAAAAATATTTTTGGACTCCTGGTTCTATCACCTTTTCAAGAAGAGAGTTCCAAAAGTATGATTCTGAGAGAAAATAATTTCTTTTCAAATCAGTTTCAAATGGGTGACCCCTTATTATTAAACAGTGAGCCCTGGTTCTCCCATAAGAAGAAACACTGCAGAGTCTTCCCAGATCCTGAGCAATGTGGGCTGTGGCAAGACATTTGGGAGAATTGTGTTAGAAGTTGAGCAAGGTCTATTCCTGTATCAGTGGCAATGAGTTGTATTTTCCAATAGCGTTCCAGATGTAAAGGCAAGATCTTGATGGTGAGCAGTGAGAGGTCTATGAGGGGAGATCGTCACTCATTATCACCTTCAGTATTATTTAATCTTGCCTTGTTAATATGCACTTTCCTCTCCTATTCTAGTATTTGCCAGATAAGACCATAAGAAGTAGGAACAGGAGTAGGCCATTTGGCCCCTCGAGCCTGCTGTACCCTTCAGTAGGATGATGGCTGATCTGGCATTCCTCGTGTCCACACATCATTGTTCCAACCTCAACGTTCCTGAGTGGGCAAATCAATTATTTTGTTCTGTGAGGGTGGAGGCTTCAAATTTTAGCTCTTCAAAGGGCAACACCATTAGATAGATACCCGTATACTAAAGCTGAAACACAGCTGTGAGCAGTCAGTGCTTAGGTGTTAGCCTGCTGTGTGCAGTCCAGACCCTTGCCCTAAGCACTCCTGTCCCTATTATCTAAGATGACAACTGGATCCCACTAATGCCTGTGATGCAATAACAATGTTCGTCTACCTGGAAAGATAGGACGTAGTTGCTAAAGTGGCAATAACTTGTGATTCATCTGCACATGGTGCAGGAACTGCTCACTTCACCCATTGACCATGGATCATTGTGAAGCACTAAGGATGGTTGGGCTTTGCACCTTCAACGTTGAAGTTGCAATTAGATAGAGACTCATACACATGTAGTTGATGGTGAAAAGCAAATATATATTTACAAATACATTAATGTATTTACTCTGACATGTCATCTGTAGTACTTATGTGCCCTCAGAGGTCTTCTTTTTTTCCTTCCCACTATCTCTTGATGCAGTCCTGGTTCTGCTGTTGTTTTGGAGAGAGCCTACCGTACAGTGAAGCAAATTGACCTTGGAGGTTTAGTCAAGTGATCCCAGGGGTATTATTGTTTAGAGGACCCAGAGTGTGTCCTGCCCAGAGGCAAGTACAACCTTCTCATCTTGAACTCCCACAGGTTTGTGGGGGTGGGCATACAGTTTAGAGGTGGAAGACCTGGCCACCTCTCGAGTGTTCTGAGTGGAGACTTCTGGAAAATCTATATGTGATTCATCCTCCAGGTACATACCTATTGGCTTCCCTTCTGGACAGAGCTCAGGGGCCCTCTGTGACAAGAATAAATCAAATCAAATGTCACTTTCTCGTTGGTGTGAAGCTCTAGGATCTAGAGTGAAGGAGTGCAGCTGGCAGCCAGATGGTCACATACCAGAGACAGCAGAGTTCCCACAGCATTGCAGCAGTCCTGCAGCCTTTGTGTTTGGTTACGTCGTGGCCCTGACAAACCTGTCTGCTGCTCCGGGATCTTCCTGTGCATGGCGATAAAATCAGGAAATGACACCAGCACGGGCTCCTCTCCTGCTTGAGGCTGAACAGGTGCCTGGTCTCCATCAAGCCTCCGAGTGTCAGTGACCTGGGGCATCTCTTCTTCAACCAGCTGTGGAGGTGTGGCAGTGACATCCTCCCCAGTAAGTGCCTCCTGATTGTAATCTAGAAAATGTACCCACCAAGGTGTCAGTGTCTGAGCTGGTGGAGAGGGGCAGGAGGCAGCCCGGCCGGTCGTTCCTCTCCATATCCATGTTCTCTTCAGAGATGGATGAGGGCATGTCTTGTGGGGTAGGCTTCTTGATGGTAGACACTGGGAACATCCTTTGCTGCCTGTGAGAGAGACAAAAGAGAGAATGTCGTAGCCAATGTGTTGTACATTGTGGTAGGTGAATAAACGTTTACATTATGATTAATGTTTCAATACAATAAACAATGATTCTCTCTTGGTGGCCAGGGCATGTATGTCTCTGCATTCCCACAGGAACTGTCCTGGTCTTCACCAGTTAGGGTCACAATCCACTCATCATAGGGTGGGTGAGAAGCCAAATGATTGGCACCCAACCACCATCCTCTTTTGGTCTTGTCATTGAGCTTGTGAGGCATTTATTCCTCAAATAAGATAAGGGGAGGGATAGAGTGTAATGTCTGGCACAGTTTCCAGAGCTGGTGCAGGTGGAGGAAAAATCATTCCCTGAGTGAATGAGCAGACAGTGCTAAGGGTTTTTCGGATATGGGGGGTGGTGGTGGTGTGGAAGGAGGTAGTGAGGGAAAATGCCGCATGCAATGGTGAAAGTGACATAGCATGAGCGGGTGGGAGATGAAACATAAATCTTGTCTGAAGTAACTCAGAGAAAATAGTGGACTCACCCTGGTGGAGCGAGAAGGTCATTCGCCATCTTCCTACGCTGCTGGAAGATGCTCCTCCTGATGGTTGAGACTGCACTGATCCAGGTAGCAACCATCAACCAGGCTGGTATGGTTTGGTGCCATTTTCTTCTTTGGCAGTTCTAGAGGAAGAGGACATCCCACTTCTGCACCATTCTGTCCACCAGGACCTCGAGGTTCATATCCACAAAGTGCGGCATCAATTTCCCCTTATCTGCCATTCCATCCAGCAAGATGTGTAGAGCTGTGGAATGCTGGTGCTAGTCTGGGTGCACAACAGCCTTTTGAATATGGCACCAACAACGTGGATGCTGGTCCCTTCCGGGTAATCTGGGGCATTGGTGAGAATCTCTTCTACAGCAAATGGGAGATTTGGGCTAATTAACATTGGATTATCAGATTACCATAATAGCATGGTAGATAGTTAATGAGGCCTATCTGACCCAATTACTTAAGAAATCAAAACAGAAATTGCTGGTGAAACTCAGCAGGTATGGCAGCATCTGTGGGAAGAAAGCAGAATTAACATTTCAAGTCTGAAGAATCACCCTTAATGGACTTTGCATGTAAATTATTCAACTGGAAACACTGGTGATTTACTCATGACTAATAGATGAAAAAAAAATACCAAGGGTGATTAGGTGGTGGGAACAATAAATGTTGTATTATCTGTAAGAGAACTTCTGGATCTAAAATAATTCAGATGTTAATATTTATCTGATTTAACAGGCAAACGATAAAGGTGTCCATTTCCCAGTGTGGGCCATTTGTCTTGCGTTTCAGGAACTAACCGTTACTACCAGTGGAGAAAATCTTCTTACTAGAACAAACATGATTAATCTAGCTCTGCCTTTGAATTTTACAAAAGGTGAGTTTCTGAAAATTTCCTTCAGCTATTTGTTACTGTCACTCATCATACCACCTAAGACCTATTTCGAGTGATTTAGGTAACTAGACAACAACTACTTTGTTATCAAGCTTTTTGCTAGCCAAATATTGTTTGCATTGGGTACTTTTTTTTTTACAATTCCTTATTTTTCAAAAAAAATCTAGTATATTTTTAAAACAATAAAATGTGTAAGTATGTGTATCTGCTTTCTGCAAGTGATTTTAAATGAATGTTCATATTAGATTTTTACATTGTCATAATCAAGAAAAACCTAATATTACATTTTAAACAACAGAAATAGCACTTAAAAAATAGTTACCAGGGTCATATGATAATCTTTGTTAATCTACTGCTAGCCAAAAGCAGACAGACTGGTGTGTGACCTCAACATTAGTCACAGAGGAAGCTGTTTAGAATTCAAATACCTCTTGGAAAACATGATGGATCCTATTTGAAGGTTTGAGATTTTGCAACATCGGAGCAGGCATATGCCTGCTTTGCTGTTCTCAGTCATGGTTGAAGTTCGGTCTCATATTCCTGCGCTGACTGAACATTCTTTGATATGAATTTATTCAATGACTGAGTTTCCTCTGCTCTCTGGGATAGAGAATTCCAAAGATTCACCACCTTGTGAGTGATGAAATTCCTCCTATTCACATTCCGAAATCAGCTTGTCTTTTATCTGAGACTGCATACTTTGGTTCTAGACCCCACAGCCAGGGAAAATATTCTTTCTGGATCTACTCCTAGATCCTTGTAAGAACTTTGTAAGTTCCTATGAAATTGCTTGTCATTCTGCCAAACACCAGGGAATAAAGGCCCGAAACTTAAATCACCCCATAGGATAGTCTTGCTATCCCAGGAATCATTGAGATAAACTTTCACTGCAATCTCTCTAATGGCAAGCTTATCCTTCCTCAGTTATGGGGACCAGAACTCTACATTCAGCCTTACTAGTATTCTATAGAATTGAATTAAGATTTCTTTATTCCTGTAGGTCAATCCTGTTGTGAAAAAGTCTAACATACTGTTTGCCTTCCAAATTGCTTACTGTACCGGCAAGTTAGCTTTCATGATTTATCAACAAGGCCACTTATGTCCCTTTGGACATGAATACTTTCCAAATTATCATCAGATAAGAAACTTTGCAGCTTAGCTTTTGCTTTCAGCGTGGATAACCTCACACTTAACCACATTGTATTACCTCTGCTACTGTCTTTGCCCACTCACTCAGCCTGTCTAAATCCCCTTATAACCTCTTTACATCTTCCTCGCAGCACATATTTCCACCCAGTATTGTATCATCTGCACACTTGGACATGGTACAATTGGCTCCCACATCCAAATCATTGATATAGATTGTGAATAGCTGGGGCCTAAGAACTGATCCTGGAGGTATCCCACTGGTTACAACTTGCCAACCTGAGAATGGCCCATTTATTCCTACTCTCTATATTTGGGCTTAACCAATGCTTAATCAATTGTCCCTGATCTAATGCACTGTAATTTTGTTTACTAACCTCCTGTGTGGGACAATATCAACAGCTTTCTAAAAATCCAGTGTTCAACACTGGGTTCCCCCTTACCAACTCCGTTGGTAACGTTCACAAGAAACTCTTTCAGGTTTGCCAAACATGATTTCCCCTTCATAAATCCATTTGACTCTGTCTAAACAGATAATTATTTTGTAAATATCCAGTAATCACATCACTTATAATAGATTCTAGTATTTCCACACTACTGACATCAGGCTAACAGGTCTGTAGTTCCTATATTTTCTCTCCTCCTCTTTTCTTAATGAGGTTGGATTTGCAACATTTCAATCTGCAGGTATCATTGCAAAATTAATAGCATTTTGAGATGATCAATGTATTCATTAAAACATCAGAGACAAGCTAGAGATTGGAAGAAACCTCCACAGGGGATTCTAGCATAATTGATTCTCCTTTGAGTTACAATGTTTTATCAAAAGTTAACAGCAGCCATCTTAAGTTGTGATCTATATAAGGTTGAGATACTCTTTTAAGCAGATCTTCTCAGGAAAGTCCGAGAGTGCATGTCCTTAGAGAAAAGAGTTCTCAGTGTTGTATGTGTTGAACAAACCACTACCAAATCATTGAGATAGAGTACTTCTACAGATCTGCCTCACTACTCTTTAAAATAAAACATTAATCAAGTTAAACAGCCCCTGTGGAGCACTGTAATGTAAACAAAATTTAATTCTCATTGGAGCTTAAACTTAAAATCAAATCAAAATAATTTTGTCTGGGTAACAGTGCATTCCAGCACCTGTGACGCCCACCAATGACTCCTCCTTTCTGTACTGATTTTAAGGACCTACTTGGTGGACAGTGATAAAGGATGACCCACATGAGTCTTAATGAGAAGAGGAACTTGTATGAACAATATGTAGTTTATTGAGTGATAGCAATTGGTACATATTACATTGACCAATTAGACATAACTAAAACCATCAGCAGACACTGATGTCACATCTGTCTCCATTGGAATCTAGAGTGAGAATCCTCTGTTTCCACTTCAGATTGGATGACGCTTAATGTAGTCTCCGACATTAACGTTTTCAGAACCATTCCATTTATGCAACACTTAGCTCTTGAGAAAGGCTTTTCAAAAACAGTTACAGTTCTACCAAAAGACTCCAAGCAATCTGAAAGTGCCATGGCTGCAGAATAAGTGAGAAGAAATCTCTATTTCAAAGCCTGCTGCCCTTACTGAGTCTACCCATGCAAACAATCACCAACTCTACAGCTACAGAAGCTATTACAGTGCTGAATTCTGACTTCATGTTTTCAACCTTTTTACCTCAGAAAGAGAGACTTTCAAGCAAGTAACAGGCCTGCAATGATAATGGACTGAACTGATTTTTATCTTTATTAGTCACTTTTATTTGAATCAACTTTTAATCTTTGTACCAAGTTTTATCTAATAACTGAATCATGTTTTTAACTTAATATCCTTCAGCTATATTTGTGTAATAAACCAATCCTTGATCTTATTTAAATGTAAAGCTTTGCTGCTGCTTATGTTTAGAATGGTAGCAATCATAAATCTAAAAGGGAACAAAGTGACCCATGCTGCAGATGTGCCTGATGGTCATGACAACAGTTAGGCAATAGTTGCTGCTGCGCCAGATCAACAAATCAGCAATGATGATGCGACTAACTTAGATGGCTTGTCACACAGATTTTGATATGGAACATTATTTAATTGGAAATTGTGACAGGAATCACGTTTTGTTTGACTTCCTGAATAATAAAAGGAACAGTACTGAAGACATCCTCTACAATATTGAAGTACTTTGTGCAATAATATTGTAGGCATCACATTGCTCATGGAAACTGATTTACTGCAACATATATGTCCACAGAACTGATAGACCTTTGTATAGTCAATAGGTATGACTTAAATTTCATCAATGTTTAATTGAAACATGTTGCCCTTGCCAGGACTGATATTTTCAACAGTTTAATGTTTGATTATTACATGGTAATGTCTGTAATCATGGGCCATGAGTGACCAGAATCCTAAACATGAAGAATTAATAATTAAGTAATTGAAGGAATAGTTGAGTAAATGTTCGTTTCAGTTTCTGTTATTTTGTTCAGCTGGTCTGCATAGTCAAATGTTCAAGAATTTTCCTAAAAATCTGTTACAAGCATTACAAATCCAACTTCTGACTGGACACTACCACTATTGGAGCATATCTGTGAAGGTAGGGTTTAGGCAGTCTTCTCAACTATCTTTCTTTTACTTAATATAGAGTCATAGAGATGTATAGCACGGAAACAGACCCTTCAGTCTAACTCATCCATGTGACCAGATATCTTAAATTAATCTAGTCCCATTTGCCAGCATTTGGCCTATATACCTCTAAACCCTTCCTATTCAAGTACCTATCCAGATGTCTTTTAAATGTTGTAATTGCACCAGCCTCCTCCTCCACCTCTGGCAGTTCATTCCATACATGCATCACCCTCTGCATGAAAAAGTTGCCCCTTAGGTCCCTTTAAAATCCCTCCCCTCTCATTTTAAACCTATGCCCACTAGTTTTGGACCCCCTTCCCCTGGGGAAAAGACCTTGACTATTCAACCTGTCCATGACACTCATGATTTTATAAACTTCTTCAAACCCTTCAACCCTTGTAACATCCTTGTAAATCTTTTCTGAACCCTTTCAAGTTCAACTATTTTGAGTAAATTTAAATTACCTTTAAATTTAGTTACATGGTTCTTAAATATACTTGTTCTAAGTTCAAAAATTAATACACATTGGTAGGTATTTTTGTTGTCTTTTGAGAAGATTTTCCTCAAGTTAAATTTTAAAAAGATTATCCAAGTTTAAATGATGAAACATGATTAGTTATGTATCTAGTGGGGAATGGAAGTAAGAGTCCCAAAATTGAGTCCTACCTACCATTTTTAGAGTCCCTGGCTCATAATGACTGAACAAAATTCCAGGGCATAGTATCTTACATTTATATTGGATCACTTCCCTATGATTTCTCTCGATTCTCATTTAAGTTCTCTTTACTGAGAAAACTGACCTGTACAAATGCCCTTGTGTTGCCCTTTGGGTTAAGGTTAAGCTTAAACTTCGCACTGAACCTTGTTGGTAATTTTAAGATGAGAGTCATAGGGCCAACAGGAGGGAATCAATCTTGCATTGGGCTATGCATTAGCATAGTGTTTTATTGGGAATATTTGAACAAGTTCCTGAATCCCTGTGAATAAATCACAACCCAACTATTTGTGTAAAAACCATTCTAAGAAAATCATGGTGCTTGTCCTAGTTTCACAGACTGACAAGCAGCACATTTAAAAAATACATTCTGTAAAGTTCACAACCCTGTAGATGGGCAAGATAACATCTCAATTCATCTCTTTGAAATTAAGAGCCATTATGGCGTAGTAACATGGACAACATCCCACCTGCATAAAAGGAAGAATTGTAGATGCTGGAAATCTGAAACCAAATTGCTAGAGAAATTCAGCAGGTCTGGCAGCATCTGTGAAGAGAGAAACAGAGTTAAAGTTTTGAGTCCAGCGACCCTTCTTCAGAACTGTTTTTGTTTCAAAACTCTAGATGTGATGGGTTACCAAAATTCTTCATGGCTCTTAACATAAAATCAAGCTGTATTTTGATTTAACAAGTACTATAGAGTCAGTAGTACTTTACAACCATACAACTTTCACATCTTAAATGAAAATAGAGTTTATAGTTTTGTTGCACAATATTAATTCTGCTACAGGAATGTTTTCATCATTTATTTCCATCATTCTAATTATAATTCTTACGTGATAAATTTTAGAATTTTACAAACAACAAAAAATTGGATAACTTCTACAAAATCCTGACTACTAATATGGATAATCAGAGAGTGGAATTTGTGTCCACTTTGGAAGGTAAATAAAATTAACTACTGCTGAACTGAAATAGCTATCAATAAACTATTTTAATGAAATGTAAGTATATCTATTTCATATGTAATTTCAGTCTGTTGCATGTAGGGTGGGAATTTTTATGCAGGATACTCGTGAAATGATGTGGAATACTGTGAACATTATTGGTCTTATTTAAGGAAGGATGAAAATCTGTTGGAAGCAGTTCAGAGATAGTTTACCAGAATATTACCTGGGGTGAGTGGGTTGTCTTGGGAGCGAATATTAGACAGGGAAGACTTGTAATCGCTAGAGTTTAGAAGAGTAAGAGATGACTTGATTGAAACACAGGCGTCTTAACCAGATAGATATGGAGAGGATGTTTCCACTTATGGGACAATCTAGAACTAAGAGTTGCTATTAAAAACTTAGGGTTCACTCATTTAAAACAAATGAGGTTAATTTAAAACAGTTAAAACAGAGATGAGAATCATGAGTCAATAAACGTGGAGCTGGACAAACACAGCAGGTCAGACAGCATCAGAGGAGCAGGAAAGTCAATGTTTCGGGCCAAAACCCTTCAGGACTGAGGAGGGGGAGGAGCCCAGAAAAAAAAAGGGGGGGGGGGGGGGGCTGGGGAGTGGTAGGTGGGATGATGATAGGTGGATGCAGGTAAGGCGTTATAGTGCTTGGTCAGTGGGAAGGGTGGAATGGATAGGTGAGTAAGAAGATGGACAGGTCAGACAGGACAGGGAGGTGGGACGTGGGCTGAGGCTGGGGGTAGAGGGACTTTGAAGCTGATGAAGTCAATATTCAGGCCCTAGGGCTATAAGCTCCTAAGGCGAAATATCAGATGTTGTTCCTTCAGTTTACGTTTGACCTCACTCTGACAGTGGAGGAGAACAAGGATGGACATGTCACCAGGGGAGTAGGAGGGGGAATTAAAATGGATGGCAACTGGAAGGTCAGGTTGGTTGGTGTGTGCAGAGATGTAACTCCCTTCTTGAAAAGGTGATGGAAGTGGAGTCCTTCAATATTTTTAAAGCAGAGGTAAATAGATTCCTGTTAGAAGGGGGAGGTGAAAGATTATCAGCAGGAGACAGGAATGCAGATTTGAAGTTACAGTCAGAGCAACCATGACTTTTTTGAAAGGCTGAATAGGCTTGAGGAACTGTAATACCTTTACTGAAAGAAGATTTTCAGTGTTGGAGATTCCTCCTGTATAACTGGTGAATTTCCAGTCTGCTGCTTGTTAATATACTCGTATATCCTTATTTAATCAAGACATATTCAGAAAACTGAACTCAAGTTTTAGTATTTTAGTTTGGATTTTTTCAGCACAGTATTCCAACCTCCCACCATTTTTACTGTAATTCGTGATTCAATGAAGCTGTCAGCTTAAGCACAGCAGTCACTGGCAAGTGATTGAGCAGGCTGAAGCGTGAGCATTATTCTACAGCTCTACACTATTAGCTATCAAGTTTCACACTTGGTTCCAAAAGCCTTTCATTCTACCACATGCTTTCTCTAATTATGGCTACAATGTGATGATTGTATAATTAGATCATCAGAATATTACTGTTTAATTCTTCGTCTTTAATTCTCTGCCTGAGAACCACAGCCTCTGTAGGGCAAGGTGGTCAATCCAGAATCAATTCCACAAAGAAAGGGGACCGGCCTTGTATTTTCGGTGCTTTGATCCATAAGTTGCCATCCAGCCAACTAGCTGCCTTTGGAATCCAAGTTGCTATAGCAATATACACTTTTACACGCATGTTGTACTCCAGAACTATCAATAGTAGTGGTAAAAGCTGCAATTTTCAAATGAAAATGAAGCAAATTGATTGTTATGCCTTATGTAGATAATTCATTATATGGAAACCATTGCAACATGTTAAGACATGAGGCACAACACATATTGAAATTCATTGTATCCAAGCCTTCACAAATGAATGTCAAAAGATATTCAACCTTGAACATGCTACAGCTGGATCAGATTCTTTTTTGCCCAATACTTTAATGTGTAAAATTAAAGTGCATGGGATTGAGAGTACTGTACTGACATGGATAGAGAACTGGTTGACAGACAGGGAGGAAACATAGGAATAATTGGTCGTTTTTCCAAATGGCAGGCAGTGACAAGTGGGGTACCACGAGGATCAGTGTTTGGACCCCAGCTAGTCACTATCTATTAATGATTTGGATGAGGGAACTAAATGTAATATCTCCCAAGTTTGCAGATGACAAAGCTGGGTGGGAGTGTGAGCTGTGAGGAGGATGCAGAGATGCTCTTGTGTTATTTGGAGAAGGTGAATGGGCAAATGCATGGTAGTTGAAGTATAATGTGGATAAATGTGAAGGTATCCACTAGGGTAGCAAAAATGGGAAGGCAGAATATTATCTGAATGGTGATAGATTGGGTAAGGAGGAGGTGCAGTGAGACCTGGGTGTCCTTGCACACCAGTCACTGAAAGTAAGCATGCAGGTGCAGCAGACAGTGAAGAGGGCAAAGAGTATGATTACCTTCATTGCAAGAAGATTCAAATACATCAGCAGGGATGTCTTGCTGCAATTGTACAAGGCTTTGGTGAGACAACACTTGGAATATTATGTGCAGTTTTGGTCTCCATATCTGGGGATGGATTTCCTGGCTGTGGAGGGAGTGCGACAAATGTTTACCAAACTGATGCCTGGGTAGGAACCTATATCATTCTAACAGGACTAGACAGGGTAAATTAGGATTTATACAATGTTCAGGAAGTCCAGAACCAGGGGATCACAGTCTAGGGATGTGGTGTAGGCCATTTAGGACTGAGGTGAAAAGAGGATTCTTCAGCTAGAGAGTGGGCACAGACTCATACTCCCTAGAAACAGACCTTTCGGTTCACCATGTCTATACCAACCATCAACACCAAACTATGCTAATCCCATTTACCTGCACTTTGGTCAGAGCCCACTGTACCCCAGGTATTTTATGTGCTTGTCCAGATGATTTGTAAATATTGCGGGAGTATCTGTCTCGATTACCCTGTCAAGCAGCATATTTCCTCTAAAACACTTGCTCCTCACTTTAAATGTACGTTGCATGGTCTTAAACATGTCTGCCATGGGGAAAAGATACTCGTGATCCACTCTGTCCATCCCTTTCATAATTTTGTATACCTCAATCAGATTCCCCTCTCAGCTCCTCTGCTAGAGAATGCGGTTGAGGCCAAAATATTTAGTGTTTTCAGGAATGAAATAGATATAGTTATTAGGGCTAAAGGGATCCTAGAGTGTGTGGAGAAAGTGGGAACAGGAGTTGGATGATCAGCCATGATCATAATGACTGGTGCAGCAGGCTCAAAGGGCTGAATGGCCTACTCCTGCTCCTGTTTTCTACATATCTATGTTTAGTCAAAACTTTCAACGGTGGTCACTGGATGGCAAAAGTCAGGACCCTGATTGTTATACTGGCTGAGATCCGGTAACTAAACAAAGACCATGAACAAAACAATGCACACCTCAGTTATTTGCTGAAAAACATGTTCTGAGCATTAAGAGGAGACCTGATGTTATTTCTTTTACATTATAGCTCTCTGGAACTTAAATGGCAAAACAGATCTTGAAGAGTAGAAAGCATGATGAAATGAACAAGGAATGAAACTTTTTAAACAGCTTGCTGATAATAAAATAACTGTTTTATAGATGGTACTCCATCTGTAAATGTTATATTTTGCTCTCTTTTAGTGTGAGAACCAAAGAGTAGGAATTAATGGGCCCTTTTCAAATTGGCAGGCAGTAACTAGTGGGGTGCCACAGGGATTGATGCTGGGTCCCCAGCTATTCACAATATATATTAATGATTTGGATGAGGGAACAAAATGTAACATGTCCAAGTTTGCAGATGATACCAAGTTGGGTGGGAGGGTGAACTGTGACGAGGATGCAGAGATCCTTCAGTATGATCTGGACAGGTTGAGTGAGCAAATCAATGGCAGATGCAGTATAATCTGGATAAATGTGAGGTTATTCACTTTGGAAACAAAAACAAGAAGGCAGATTACTACCTGAATGGCTGTAAATTTAGAGAGGGGAGTGTGCAGCGGGACCTGGGTGTCCTTGTGTACCAGTTGCTGAAGGTAAGCATGCAGGTGCAGCAAGCGGTAAAGAAGGCAAATGGTATGTTGGCCTTCATTGCGAGAGGTTTTGAGTACAGGAGCAGGGATGTGTTGTTTCAGTTATACAGGGCCTTGGTGATGCCACACCTAGATTATTATGTGCAGTTTTGGTCTCCTTTTCTGAGGAAGGATGCTTTAGCTCTCGAGGGAGTGCAGTGAAGGTTTACCAGACTGATTTGGGTTTGGAGGGTCCGATGTATGTGGAGAGATTGATTAGGTTAGGATTGTTTTCGCTGGAGTTCAGACGTATGAGGGGGAATCTCATAAAGACATATAAAATTCTAACGGGACTAGACAGGGTAGATGCATGGAGGATGTCCCTGATGGTGGGTGTGTCCAGAACCAGGGGTCACATTCTGAGGATTCGAGGTAGACCATTTAGGACGGAGATGAGGAGACATTTCTTCACCCAAAGAGTGGTGAACCTGTGGAATTCATTACCACAGAAAGTAGTTGATGCCAAAACATTGAATATATTCAAGAGGCATCTAGATATAGCATTTGGGGTGAATGGGATCAAAGGTTATGGGGAGAAAGCAGGATTAGGCTATTGAGTTGGACAGCAGCCATGACCATGAAGAATGGTGGAGCGGGCTCGAAGGCCAAATGGCCTCCTACTGCTCCTATCTTCTGTGTTTCTATGAGAAAGGGATTATTTATTTTTGCATGTCATTTGTATGTTGGGTGTGGGGCAATGCAGTTTGGAAGGATTAATAAGGCAAGGGAGTACACAATGAATGGTAGGACTTAAAAACAGAGGGACCTTGCTGTGCATGTCCAATAATCCTTGAAGGCAACAAGATGGCTGGATAAGTTCTTTAGGAAGGCATTTGAGATATTTGCCTTTATTGAGAAATGGGATACAAGAGGAGGGAGCTTATGATGCAACAGTATAAGACATTAATTAGGCCACAACTGGAATACTATGTGCAGTTCTGGTCATTACCCTATAGGAAGGATGTGACTGCACTGACGAGATGCAGAGGAGATTCACCACGATATTGCCTGGACTGAAGTAATTCAGCTTTGAAGATTTACTGAATGGGCTGGCATTGGTTTTCTTGTGCAGAGAAGGTGAATGATGTTACCTGAATGAAGTGCACAAAATTATGAACGACATAGGCATGATGCAAGTTTTCCCCTCAGTAAAAAGATCAGTAATGAGGGACATTTAGATGGAATTTCACCCAAAGAGTGATGGGTATCTGTAACTCTCTGCCTGAAAGGTTGGTAGAGGCTGTAGCAAACATTACCATTTAAGAAATATTTAGATGATCATTTGAAATGCCACTGAATACCGAGTGCTGGAAAATGTGACTGGAATGGATAGGTGCTTGATGATGTGCTTCATTCTATTCTGTTAAACTCTATGACTCGATGTAGTGTGTGCTTGGAGCATCAAAAACTCATCATCTACTCCATATATTTTGTGCTGCTCTGAAATGAACTTGGACGAATACATCTGATCCATTTCAATCACTATGAAAAGTTAATCTAAAATGGGACTATGCTCTGCAGTCAATATAGTGTGGAGCTGGATGAACACAGCAGGTCAGGCAGCATCAGCAAAGCAGGAAAGTCGATGTTTTGGGTCGAGACCCTTCATCAGGAAGGATCGACTTTCTTACTCCACTGATGCTGCCTGACCTGCTGTGTTCCTCCAGCTCCACATTGTAATGGCTCTGAATCCAGCATCTGCAATTCTTACTATCTCCCATGCTCTGCAGTGACTGTACATTTTTATAATTATGAACTTTGGCATCTCTGAAAGATCTTTATATATTTTTGCTGCTGTATTTCAGTCTGTTGTCAAGTTAAAGTTTGTGATGTTTTTACCTTGGATATTTTCAACATTAGCCCCTTCTTGTAGTGTGCAGACTGTAATTGTAATTTGATAGCTGAAGAACTGTTAGCGTTGGTATTCCTGGTTGATCTGATTATTTGTTATTTGAATACAGCTATTAAACACCCTATTTATGCAGTTCAGTGGCACCCTGAGAGAGGCCCTTATGAGTGGAATGCAACCTCGAATATCCTACATTTCTCTGAAGCTGTTAAAGTCGCCTGGTATTTAGCTGATTTTTTTTGTTAATGAAGGTATGATAGACAGCAGAAATAATTTATAGTTTTTAGGGTTTATTTTCTGTGCATATCCTTGTGTTGCAACTGATAATGTTTGCTGTCTTTAAGTGTAAAAATCGTTAACAAGATACTTTTGTCACTGAGAACTGTTTGTATTTTGTTTTTCAGCATGGAGGAACTTCAATCGTTTCTCCAATACAACAGAAGAGGAGAAGGCATTGATTTAGAACTATCCACCTATGTACACTGGAAACACTTCCAAATTTGAGCAGATTTATGTAATTGATTAGAATTATTTCAACTAGACTTGTCTCAGTCAGTCAATTAAATCTGATATACCCACTTTGTTGCAGACCATCCATTCTCTGTGTTCTCTTAATACAAACTGATTATTTGGTGCAAAAACAGAAATTGATAGTGAAACTCAACAGCACTGATGGGAAGAAAGCAGAGGCAACATTGAGTCCAGTGGCACAGTCACAGATGCCACCAGACTTGTTGAGTTTCATATCATCGGATTCCCTATAGTGTGGAAGGACGCCAATCAGCCCATACCAACCCTCTGAAGAACCCATATTCACCATGGCTAATCTAGCTACCCTGCACATGTGTGGGCACTAGCCAGCACATGTTTTGACATTGGGAAGGAGCCAGACCACTGGAATGAAACCCACACAGACATGGAGAGGATATGCAAACTCCACACAGTTGCCTGCGTGTGGCATCGAAGCGGGGTCCCTGGCTCTGTAGGGCAGCAGTGCTAACCACTGGGTCACCGTGCCACCCTTTAGATCATAGAATCCCTACAGTGTGGAAACAGGCCCTTCAGCCTAACACGTCCACATCGACCCTTGGAGCACCCCACCCAGACCCATCCTCCTATAACCCACCTAATCTACACATCCCTGAACACTATGGGCAATTTAGCATAGCCAATCCACCTATCCTGCACATCTTTGGACTGTGGGAGGAAACCGGAGCACCCGGAGGAAACCCACGATGACACTGGGAGAATGTGCAAACTCCACACAGGCAGTCGCCCAAGGTTGGAATCGAACCCGGGTCCCTGGTGCTGTGAGGCAACAGTGCTAACCACTAAGCCACCGGTCTTTAGGGAGTTCCATTTTTGTTTCTGATCTAACTCTAACTGTAACCTATTCTTTGTTTAGTTTCTAATTATTTCGTGTATGTATATAAAAGTATGGGGAAATTAGTAACATTAATTTTTATCAAATTGTTTAAAATTAATGCTGTGAAATTTTCCAAATTGTAAGTTTCTGTACTATTTTATTTTATGTCACCTTTGATTGGCAGAGATAAGGCACTGAGATTTCCATTTTCACATCTCTGTTCCATCACCTCCTGTTATGATACAGACCCAGGCACATTGTATATCTCTTTCTGTACTTGCTGCAGCCTTTTCTGGATAGGTCATCAAATTCATTGTCCTCTCTTTCAGAATGCAGCAATAATCTCTAATCTCTAACAAATGTGGGAATTCCCAACACCTCCATCACTCATCAAACCACATTGTTTTGTGACTAAATGCTACCTGAAAAATTAAGGTTTCAGGGTCACGAGAATTTTGGGCGTTCACTTTTGCGAACAGTTAAAGCTGCAGTGAGCAGGTGAGTCTTTGTTAGAAGATCTCCAGGACGTTTCCGCAGGAGTTCCTGAGGGCAGTGCACAAGTCCCAACCATCTTCAGCTGCTTCATCCATGACCTTCCCTCCATCATAAGGTCAGAAGTGGGGATGTTCGCCGATGATTGCACAATATTCAGCACCATTCGTGACTCCTGAGACACTGAAGCAGTCCCTGTTCAAATGCAACAAGATCTGCACAGTATCCAGGCTTGGCCTGACAAGTCACAAGTAACATTTGCACCACACAAATGCCAGGCAATAACTATCTCCAATAAGAGATAATTTAACTACTGCCCCTTGACATTCAATGGTGTTACCATCACTGAATTCCCCACAATCAACATCCTGGGGGTTACTATTGACCAGAACCTCAAGTGGACTCACCACATAAACACATGGGTCACAAGAGCAGATCAGAGGCTGGGAATCCTGCAGCGAGTAGCTCATCTCTTGACTCCCCAAAGCCTATCCACCATCTACAAGGCAAAAGTCAGGAGTGCGATGGAACACTCCCCACTTGCTTGGATGGATGCAGCTCCAACAACACTCAAGAAGCTTGATAGCAGCTAGGATAAAGCAACCCACTTGATTGGCACCACGTCCACAAGCATCCACTTTCTCCACCACCGACGTTCAGTAGCAGCAGTGTACTAATACGAGATGCACTGCAGCAATTTGCCAAAGATCCTTAGATAGCACATTCCAAACCCACCACCACTTCTGTCCAGAAGGACACGGGCAGCAGATACATGGGAACACCACCATCTGCAGGTTCCCCTCTAAGCCACTCATCATCCTGACTTGGAAATTTATCGCTGTTCCTTCAGTGACTCTGGTCAAAATCCTGGAAATCCCTCCATCAGGGCATTGTGGGTCTAACCACAGCACACGGACTGCAGTGGTTCAAGAAGGCAGCTCACAACCTTAACACCACTACCCCACCTACCATCCATCCCTACTTGCTCAGTGACCTCCCTCACCATTGTCACTTATTGTTGGAGGTCCCTTTACAAACATCCCTGCTTGAAAGTTGCCGTGCTGGCAACAATGCATAGCACACAGTAACCATGTGCTAAGCAGTGATTAACAGGTTCAGCTGATGCCATGATGAATGGCATGTCTGAAACCACGTGGTTGGGAGCATTCTCTTCTTGCACCATGCTTCCTCATAAGATAAGCTTCTCATTCCAAGAAGAACCTGAGTAAAGAATCTCTGAACAGCTTTAATGCAAATAAGTCCCTTCTTAAGGAGAGAAATGGAGAGTAAGTGAGTGGAGGGTAAGGTTCTTGAGAATTGAATTGAGTTAGGTTTACTGTCATGTACTCATATGAGTACAGTAAAAAAGTTTACAAGTCACCACTTACTGCAGCATCTTACGTACAAAGGAACCTAGGTGCAGCATCTTAGTTACAAAGCAGAAAATAAGGAAAACAAAGTCAAAAAGTTAAACATTACAGTCTTTATTACTAAAACGTTGAAAAAAAAAGAAACACAGTTAACGTATCAACACCACAATCCATAAGCTCCTGGCCATGCTGGGCTCACGCTCCCCACAGCGGCTCGACCTCTCCCACTCCAGGATTGACCTAGCCCCTGCCAGATGGCCCAGGCTGCCTGATCTGCTTTTGCTACTGCCTGCTCCTGCTAATGCCACCTTCTTTTGCCGTTACCGCTGAAAAGAAGCAAAAGCTGAAGATGAAAAAGAAGAAAGGAGAAAGAAGGATGCAGCTGGCCAGGTGCTGGGAATGGACAGGCTCAGGGGCCAGAACGTTGCCTACCCTACTGCCATCTTGAAAAATGATGGCCTCTGATGATCTCTGAAGGTGGGAAACATCTTATTTTTATTTGGTATCCATTTTCAGAGGCCATCTTGAGAGGTCGAGGGTCAGTGCAAACAAGAGCAGGATGGCCTTGACCAAGGTCAAGACCATCAGCAAGGTTCTTCCAGACTACGTTGTCTCCTAGCTTCGAACCAGGTCATTGATGGATCACTGTCACGGAATCCAGGTCCTGAACATTCCTTGTTAGCAGCAATATAGGTACATCTGTACCAGATAGAAAGTAGTGATCCAGGATGAGCTGTACCGATGATTATGGATGGGCAACAAATGCTGACATTGGCCGTGGTTTTCAATTCCCATGATTTGGTGCAACCCTGACATCTGCAATTAAAGTGAGTCAAGCTGCTTCATTGCTTGAGATGTCCTTGGCAGGCATCCTCATGGCTTCTACAGCTCCAGCATGTTAAGGGTTGTACAGATGTTCCTCTTTGGCCTTACCTACTGGAAGCATTAGGATCACTGGCAGAAGGGATGAGGAGTGATATTGCACCCTTTGAAGTGCCATGTGATGGAGCTCCTGAGGCAGATGCCTGTTACACCACCTCCTCCTGGTTTGCAATTGGCACCACCTGACGAGGAAGGACACGTGGAGGAAGATCTGACGCCTACCTTAACTTTGTACTCTCTCATCTGACCATTGCTATCTAGAGCCCATGCTATACTTACACTATGCAGCTCCAAGCAGCCACTGACTCTCTCTTAGAAACATACAGAAACCTAGAAGATAGGATAATTCATTCAACCTTTCAGCCTGCTCCACCATTCAATATGATCACGGTTGATCATCGAGCTCAATATTTTATCCTCACCTATATCCCTGATCCTTTTAGTCAGAAGAGCTATATCTACCTCCTTCTTGAAAATATATAATGTTTTGGCCTCAACCACTTTCTGTTCTAGGCTCACCACCCTCTGGGTGAAGACATTGCTCCTGAACCTAGCTGACCATGATGTTTGCCAACCTCTTCTGGGAAGGAAGCCCCAGGTGCTCACTCACCTTAAACCATGGGATCTTTCACCACATACGGTTATTGACTCAGAAATTAGATGTTCAAGTCATTCTTGACAGGAAAAGAGTTAAAAACAGTGACACCAGTCTCAGCCGCTGCCTTTGTGAGTGATTATAGCAAGGCAGCCTGCTTGTTTTTCTATGCTCAGGGCTGAGATACACTTAGCATATCTGCTTATTGTGGAAGAGCCCTCAGGGGCAGCATCTGTCACTGGACCCTGCCAACCCTTAGTCAGATGGTTCAAAGAGGCCAGTGATAATGATTGCACCCTGTGAGGGTAGGACCATCATCCTTGTTGATGACTGCCTCTGTGCCCACAACCCTCACCACCACATCCTGCTCCCCCACCCCCAGCCACCCAGTCTGTGCTCCTGCCCATCAGTGGGCCCTCTCCATGAACATCAGAGGCTACATTCTACACCTCCACCCTCCACCTAGACAGCAGTGTGTGTAGAACAAGACTCCAGATTCATGCCCTAGGGGATTAAAAAATCAAGCTTGAAAACTTAATTTATAAAGGTTTATGATAAACACCTGAAAAAGAATACTGAAATATTCTGTGAGCAGAGGAGACAGTTCCTGTTTGAGAGGCAGAGTGATGTCCTTATGTGCTGTAATATCTGTCAATGTGTGAGAATCCTAAATGGTTGAATCTGAGCTCAGAGAGTGCGGGGGCTCAACGAAGGCTAGGATGAGGTGGGGTGTGTCCCATATACTGAAACCACATCCCCTTCCACACGCTCTCGATTTGGTATGGGGTGGTTTACACTGGCATGTTTTAATACCCATGCTGACCCCCACTCTCCCCCAAATGCCTTCACTCCCTCAATGTCTTTTCTGCGAGCACTGAACCCCTTCTAATACCCTCATCCCTCCAACCCAATCATTCAATTCCTACCCCATTCCCTCAGTCCCACACTCCAGTTCCTCAATCCCTACCCCATTCCATCAATCCCACACTTCATTTCCACACCCCATTCCCTCAATCCCACACCCCATTTCCTCAATCCCACACCCCATTTCCTCAGTCCCACACCCCATTTCCTCAATCCCTACTCCATTCCCTCAATCTCACACCCCATTCCGTCAATCCCTACCCCCATTTCCTCAATCCCTACCCCCATTCCCTCAGTCCCACACCCCATTTCCTCAATCCCTAGCCCGCCTCTTTCCCTTTCCCCTCCCCTATCTGAGCTAATCCCATGTCAGCTGCTGGCAATAGATAGGGGACCAGGATCCGCCCTTCGCTTGCGGAGTTACATAAACTCACGGACGGCCGACTGCAGCCGGAAATCAGCGTCTCTTTAGTTTACCTTTCGCAATCTCAACTCAGAGTTCAAGGGTTCTGCAATGTTTTAAATACACACTTTAAGAATGGCAGCTCCTCACTCGCCTGTCTATGCCACGGGGTTGTGTGTCTCCCTTTTGCTGCTGTGTGTTCAGCTCGCCAGCTCCCTGCTTAACCAGAGGCCGATCATTGGTAAGTGAGGAGGGGAAATCTCACTCTCCCTCTCTGTTTCTGACACTGAGAGAGGGAGAATAATCTCGGAAGTCATTGGGCTGAGAGTGCTGCTCTCACCAGTAGTAATGCTGGAGAAACTCCGCAGGTCTGGCAACATCGGTGGGGAGAAAGAGAAAGCAGAGTTAACATTTCGGCGCCAATGTCACTTCTTCATCACAGCCTGATTGACAGTAGCTAGGAAAAGATGGTGTATATACTCTAGACGGGTGTGGGGGCAAGGGGTGAGTAGCAGGAGGGATGGAGCCCAGTTTTGGGGGGGGTGGGGGAAGAGAAAGTAGAGCTGATGATGGCGCCATGAGTCGGTGAAAATGGGCTGGCTGTGCTGAAAGCAGCCCATGTGAAGACAGGGTATGTGGGTGGGGAAAGGACATGGATTTGATTTAGAATCGTAAAGCTGTACAACATGGAAACCTACCCTTCAATCCAACTCGTCCATGCCGTCCAGATATCCTAAATTAATCCAGTCCCGTTTGCCAGTATTTGGCCTATATCCCTGTACACCCTTTCTGTTCATATGCCCATCCAGATGGCTTTGAAATGTTGTAATTGTACCAGCCTCCACCGCTTCCTCTGGCAGCTCATTCCATATACGTACCACCCTCTGTGTGAAAAACTTGCCCCTCAGGTTCCTTTTAAATCTTTCCTCTTTCATCTTAAACCTATGCCCTCTAGTTTTCGGCTCCTCCAACCTCAGGGAAAAGACCTTGGCTACTCACCCTATCCATGTTCCTCATGATTTTATAAGCCTCTATGAGGTCACCATTCAGCCTCTGACACTCCAGGGAAAATAGCCCCAGTCTATTCAGCCTCTCCCTACAGCTCAAACCCTCCAACCTTGGCAACATGCTTGTAAATTTTTTCAAAACCCTCTCAAGTTTCACAACATCCTTCCTATAGAAGGGAGATTTATTATTGTCACATGTACAGTTTGCTTTATTGTCACATGCCCCTAAGTACAGCAAAAGTTTTCTTTTGTGATCAGTACAGACAGATCATAGCGATCATAACAAACAAGGACACACAGATCATAGGGTGCCTAGACAGTGTGAGGTTATGGCTGCACAGGAGGTGCACAAGGCAAGATCACGATTAGGCTTGAAATTAGACAGGTCCATTGTTCAGTCTAATAACAGGGAAGAAGCAGTTCTTGAACTTGTTGGTGCATGTGTTTAAGCTTCTGTATCTTCCTCCACCAGAAGATGTTGGAAGAAGGTATTACTGGAGTGAAAAATGAACAGTTTTGTTTTGCACGCAGTACAGGGCAGATCATTACCATACAAAGTGCATTAGGGTATTAGAACAGAGTAAGGAATACAATGTTATGGCTGCAGTGAAGACACACAGAAAGTGACATCAACGTTTTGAAATTTGAGAGGTCCTTTCAGAAGTTTAATAACAGTGGGGAAGAGGCCGTTCTTGAATCCATTGGTCCATGAGTCTAAGCTTTTGTATTTTCTGCCAGATGGAAGACGTTGGAAGGGATGATAATTGGGGTGAGAGGGGTCTTTGATTATGTTGGCTGCCTTGGTGAGGCGTCGAGAAGTGTAGGGGAGACAAACAGGAGACTGGAAGATCACATCAGGCCAGGCAGCATCTGGAGGAAAGGAGCAGTCAATATTTCAGATATAACCCTTCTTCAGGACTGCCAAGATGCTGGACAGAGCGGGTGCCGTACCAGGCCGTTATGCACCCAGGCAGTATGCTTTCAATGGTACATCTGTAAAAGTTGGTGAGGGACCTTAGGGACGTGCCAAATTTCCTGAGCCGTCTGAGGAAGAAGAGGCGTTGTTGTGCCTTTTTGACCGTTACATCTACATGGGAAGTCCAGGACAGGCTGTTGATTATCGCCACTCTGAGGAACTTGATGTTCTCCATCTTCTCAACCTCTGCTCCATTGATGTGGGTGGGGAGCACGTTCTCCTCCTTTTCTTTTTGAAGTCAATGATCAGTTCTTTAGATTTGCTGACAGTGAAGTAATTCTCATTGCATCATGGCACCAAGCCGTCTGTCTCCTTTCTGTATTCTCACTCATCGTTGTTTGATATCCGTCCTACCATTGTGGTGTTGTTAGCGAACTTGTAGCTGGCGTTCATTCGGAATTTGGCAACACAGTTGTGGGTGTACAGGAAGTACAGTAGGGGGCTGAGGACGCATCTTTGTGGGGGCTCCAGTGTTGAGTGTTATTGTGGAGGAGGTGCAGTTACCTATTCTCACTGATTGCGGCCTATGGGTCAGAAAGCTGAGGATCCAGTTGCAGAGGGCGGAGCTGAGACCAAGGTCACGCAATTTTGAGATCAGTCTGGAGGGGATAATGGTGTTGAAGATGGAGCTGTAGTCAATAAGCAGGAGTCTGATGTAGGTGTCTTTGTTGCCCAGATATTCCAGGGATGAGTGCAGGGCTAGGGATATGGCATCCACTGTGGACCTATTACGTCGGTAGGCAAATTGCAGGAGTTTGAGGCAGGCTGGGAGGCTACACTTGATGTGGGCCATTGTGTTGGAGGCTAGTGGTAGTGTTGATGATGGTGGTTCAGTAGGCAGTTTCACAACCCTATGTTTTGTATCAGTTCTGATTTCTGAGGGAATTACAGCATTCAGGATGCAACAGAGGCATTTTGTTGCAATTGCATCCTTCTTGTAGTGCAGTGACCTGAACTACACGCATCTATTGCTCAGAACGAGAGCGACCCTTAGCCTGCAACACAGAAGGGATTAAGGGATAGTTCCTGGGCTTTGAGCTTCACAGCACACTAAGGCTTGAATCCAGGCTGGTGAATACGTAAATTTTCAGATCCACTAGCACCAGCAGTAGTGTTGAAACTGGTTTTATTAACCTCCGTCCTTGTGTATTTCTTCAAGGGATAAACACAAAATATATCTGCAGTTAGGCACATTATCTGCAGAAGGCCACTCACTTTTGAGCAGGAAGTTGTCAGCCTTTTGTTATCCCTGTGCTTGCCACATAAACTGCTGGCTCATGCTGCCCTTCTGATGTTGATGTAGCACGGTGTCACATTGCAACACGTCCCCTCCCTGTTTGCTGTGACGAGCTGACTGCCTCGACCTCTGCACTAAAAGGCGATGCATACCACAGCCTGTAGCTGAACACCA